ATCTTCTAATTGAGGTGCCTTCTTTCAAATAGAACTATTGCTTATAGCCAAACTAACAAGTCGACCAATTTATTTCCTAGTACCAAAAGAACTTGAAGAGCTACAAAAGATATTGGACAAATTCTTGGAAAAGGACCTCATTCAAGAAAGTACATCACCATGGAGAGTACTTATACTTTTTACACTCAAGAAGATGGTAGACTTTGCCTTTGCATCAACTATCGAGGTTTCATTAAGCGAATTATTAAAAATACACATCTACTTCTATGCGTGGATGATCTTCTTGACCAACTTTAAAAAGCAACCTTTTTTAATAAATTAGATCTTCGCAACAGCTATTGGCAAATACCTATTGCAACAAAGGATGTGGAAAAGATGGCATTTTGTATGCACTATGGATATTTTGAATGGTTGATTTTACCCTATGGTCTCACCAATGCTCCAGCTTCTTTCATGGATTATATAAACAGATTATTTTGAGACTTTTTGGATAAGTATGTAGTCATCTTCATTGATGATATTCTTGTATATAGTAAAACCTTTGAAGAACATGAGTAATAACTACAAGAGGTGCTGCATCGGTTGGAAGATAGTCACTTCTATTACAAGCAATCAAAATGTAAACTTTAGAAGTCAGAAGTCATATTTTTGGAATATGTGGTGTCCTCTAAAGATGAGCGTATGGAACAAGATAATATAAAAGCAGTGAAGGATTGGCCAATTCCCAAGGATGCTTCTGAAGTTTGCTCATTTTTAGGTCTTATTGAATACTATCGCCATTTTGTTCAGTGATTTGCTTACATTGCTACCTCATTGACAAACCTATTGAAGAAAGGTGCCTCATTTGAATAGAAACTAGAGCAGCAAAATACCTTTGATAAGTTTAAAGAAGCACTCATTACTACTTCAATATTACAACCGTATGATCCTAATTTCCTTTGTACACTTGACATTCATGCTTTTGACTTTATTATTGGAGCTATCCTTCAACAAGAATTTGGTAGGAGCCTTGAAACTCTGGCGAATGAATTATACAAGATCAAAAGGACAAAGTATAATTATTATGTACATGATCGAGAGCAATTAGCAATTGTACACATGACAAAGGTGTGGCAATACTATCTATTAGAAAAGCCAGTGGTTGTTTGAATTGACCATCAATCCTTACTATATGATTTACATTTGAAAAATATGAAATCATGGCATCATCATTGAGAAGAACAATTGGAGCTTTTTGATATTTAACTTGAATACAAGTAAAGGCAACAACATACTGAGCTAGACACTTTATCATAGAGACTAGACTTGAAGGACAAATCAAAAGATAAGGCAAAAGTTGCTACTATTAGTAGTATCTTTTCAAATCTAACTAAAGAGGCAAAATAAAAAGAAGCTACACAATGGGATGCTTATTTGTAGATTGTTAGTAATTGACTAAAAATAAATAATATATAATATTAGAATTACACTCTTGATGATTTTTTATTCTATTTCAAGAAAAAAATTTATGTATCCATCAATACTAAACTCTAGATGTGCATACTTTAGGAGAGAGACATGACATCCTAATATTTGGATATCTGGGACAAAAGAAGATCCTATAATGGATCTCAAGGACATGGTTTTGGGTAGGTTTGGATAGTGATATTTGAGCCTTCATACACTCTTACAAATCATGACAACATAACAAAGCATGCAACACAATGTATTTTGAACTATTGCAGCCAATTTCACTATCTATGGCACGTTAGAAGTATGTGACTATAGATCTCATTATGCGTTTGCCACAGATGCCTTGTAATCATATCACAATTGTCGAATTTGTGGATTGACTCTTGAAGCAACTTCATTTGGCCATGGTGTACTCAAATATTAATGTCTCAACGCTTGTACAAATTTTCTTTGATACTGCCTTTTGTCACTATAGATTACTTCATATCATTGTTTCAGATCAAGATTCATGCTTCATGAGAAGTTTTTAGTAAGCCTTGTTCAAAATACTAGGTACACGACTTACCATGTATATAGCCTTCCATCGCCAAACAGATGGACAAATAGAACATGCATATCAGACATTAAAAAATATGCTGCGAGCATTTGTGGCGGTTCATCATAATGATTGGGATGAATACTTGATGCCCTTAGAATTTGCTTATAATGATAGTATTCAAGTAAGTACCAGTCATTCACCATTTTTCTTTAATACTAATTAACATCCAATTATGTCAGCAATTTTCTATTGTTGCATTGACACCAACAACCCGACAATGGAAGAATTTATATAACAACTTATAATGGCCTTACAAGACGCACATCACTGCCTCTTTACTTCATAGAATTAATAGAAGTAATATTTGGATAACCATCGATAATACAAGACCTTTTAAGAGGATGATCAGGTGTTATTCTCCAACGCCAACTTGCCACTTGATACATCAATCCAAATCCATAAACTAGCACCTCGGTAGCTTAGACCTTTCTGCATTTTTATACTTATTTTTGATGTTGCATACCACCTTAAGCTTCTGCCACATACTTGGGTCCATCTACTCTTTCATGTTTTGTAACTAGAGAAATTTTATACCAAGCCAAGGCACTTTTTGGATTGACATCAACCACCACTACCACAAATTATATTTGATGTCCAATAAGAATATGAAGTGGATAGCATTTTGGAGCATTGCTATCTTTGTCGTGATAGTGGACGTCTACAACTTTAGTATAAAGTTTTTGAAAAGGTTATCCCATTCACAATTTAACATGAGAACTTGCACAAAACCTCATCAATTGCCAAGAGACAATTCGAAGATACCATCCGGAGTGAAATGAGGATGTTTTGTACTAATAGAAGGGATTAACTATAACAAGGTATAGAAGACATAATTATATAGATAATTAAAACTATGGAAGTTTTTAGAATTGTGGTTAGTTTAGTGAACCACATAAGATCCACCATGGAACATTCTAGAAGAATTTAGGGCGGTTATTTAAGTGGAGCCCATCATTAAACCTTCTAAAAAATGCTTAAGGCAATTATCTAGATAAGACCGATCATAAAATCTTCTAAAAAAAGAATTTAAGGTGGTTATTTAGGTAGAATCCACCACCTAAGAACATTCTAAAAAATCAAAGGTGATAGGATAAGATATAAATAGGACTAGCTAAGGCCTTTTAGGGCATTTGGTCAAAAATGGCTTTAGACTTTTTTTCTTAGTAAAATTTGGTTTTGCATCCTTTTATTCAATTTTGTTCTATTTTGTTTCTATCTGCTCAATTTGTCTTTCATGTCATATTTTGTGTAGTTTCGTTCAATTCAATTTTGGTTTGTTTTGTCCTATTTTTTGATGAGATTTTATATTATTATAGAGTAGAAGAATCTTGGGTTTTTTTTTGAGATAGTTTGGTCTTGTTTCATATTGCGATTGAGTTGTAAAAATATTGAAGTCCACTTTTGCAGCTCTTAGATTTTAAATCCAAATAGCCAATTGTAGAATTTTATAGTAAAGTCAACTATTTGACTTAATGTTTGAAGATCAAGTAAGTTAAGCAATAATTTTTTTACCTAATATTGTATTCTATACAAAAAAAAAAAAAAAAAAAAAAAAAAAAACACTAATAAGTGCAACATTATTTCATTTGACATCAATTGTAAGTTGTCAAAATTATGAAACATATAATCTTATTAGTTAATTATTTTGTTATCAAATATGGATCTTATTAGTTGCAACATAAATTGTATCATGTTCTTATATATAGATTAAAAGTCCACCATGAAAGTCTTCAAATTATCTAATATTAAATCACTTCATTTAAAAAAGATAAAAATCAAGATAAAACAAAATCTAAAAGTAATATTTTAATAAACCTAGTGCATAAACTTAAAATTGGATAGCTTTGAAATTGAAGTTCAATTACTAATTATATTTGATTGATAAATCTTCAAAGTTTTGATTTTGTACCATCAAATTTCTTGAGTAAGGTAACACTTGGTTCTCTAATACTTGAAGGATATTCTATTATAGAAGAAGAATGATGATTTTGTGTAGATGTCGAAGCACCTCCAATCATTTCTATATCTTCACTTTCTGCCAATTTTGTTGATTCTTGTGGTAGTAAATTGAATTGTTACATTGCAAGCAATAATTCTCTGAAATGCTTTTGCATTTGTGCCATTGCATTCTTTATTTTAATAATTTTTGCTATGATAGTAAAAGAAAAAGAAAAAATATCTATTATCTTTCAAAATAAGTAGAAGAGAGGACTTGATAATAAAGAAAATTCTAAAAATAATATCAATTTAGAGGTGGATAGTCCACAACTTCTAATATGCTTATGTCTTATCAAGAAAAAAAAAAAAAATCCTCTCTTAATCAAGAAAAGACAAAGCTATAATATTGTAAGTCTATTCTTATTATTCTACTAAGAACAAAAACTTAGAGAAGACATATAAATAGGTGAAACATATATCAAAGAGAGATAATAAAATAAAAATAAGAAAGTACTTATATTCAAGAAAAAATTAAAATGGCTATTGCCAAAGATTAGAAATTTAGACTCTTAAAACTAAATTAGAAGCAAGAAAGAAATTAACAAGTATAATCTACAAGCAAAGGAAGAAATTATATAACCTCTATATATACTATCCAATCTAGAGCTAAGTAGTGACACTTTACAAAACCTGTAATACGTATCTAACATGCATGACACATGTTTACCTTGCAAGAAAAGTTTCTTATATGTATGCTACATGGTTAGCTTGTACCACATATCTTGGAAAGAAAAGGTTTCAGACATTTCAACATGTCCATTGTTAAGTTCTCAGTCCTTACTTTGCAACAAGGCGGCCTATTTGTTTGCCTTGACTTAATATCATGAACCACTCATGACAAACATGACATAAAAAATCTTGACTTTAATAATGGTTTTGCATATTAAGAACTTACTGTTTATGTTAAAGAGTAATTTAGATGACAAGTCCAATCCACATCCCAGGACATATCTTGGAAAGAAAAGGTTTCAGACATTTCAACATGTCCATTGTTAAGTTCTCAGTCCTTACTTTGCAACAAGGCGGCCTATTTGTTTGCCAGATTGCAGTCCGTGTAGGAATCGATGGTTCCTCATAATACGCCACGGACGTTGCTATTCTAGCATCATTGCTGATTAGAACTCATATAGCCTGCAACTAGATTGAAATTACAAGAGCTTACGCATTCTCCAGCAAAACTCGAAGTAAAATGATGTGAAACAACTCAGGGAGACAAAAGGCTACTGTACTGACCAAAGTGATATACATTACCATATGATGATTTTGCTACTAAATAAACAGCTATACGTAGTAAATCATCCCAACTTCTACGAGGGAGATGTGCGGAATGCTTAGTGCTACTGCGGACCTTCTGCAGTTCCGTCTCAGGAACGTGTACGCAACGTCAATCGCAAATCTCTTAATAATGGACGAGGATTTCTTGGCCTTCACATAAGAATGCCCCAGGACATACGCTACACCTGCTTCCTTTGCTTCTATGAGTTCCTGAAGCTCTTGCCGAACAGCTGGGTCTAAATCCGGACTCTTGGATATCTCGAATCGAACGCGTTTCTTGCAACCTGCTCGAATGGCCTCATTTTCTTCAGTGATCTGTCAAGAAAATAGAGGAGATCGAATTTTCAGACGGTTCAAATGTCAGTTGTCTACACCAGACAGCTTCAACTTTTTATTAACATTTCACCTTATATCGCAAGGATGAAGTTAGAATTGCAGACCTGGAAGCTTCCTAGGGGCGAAACCCGCGTAGGTACAGAGACGGAACTCTGTTCGAAGTCGGAGCCAGTTCCAAAGACATTTAAGATCCGTGACGACGGAGTGTTTCCCATGACAGTCATCCTCTCATCGGCTACAACTTCGGCTGTAACTTCGCTGCTAGAAGGCAGATATGTCACCTCAGCTTCAGTGCGGATAAACTCAGCAAGATTGACTATCAGTTGGTTTTCGAAGTCATTGTCATCTTTGTGGACATCCTTATACCCATAACGAACTACACACCTGTTAATGAAAAGAAGCATGTCATGCCAATGCGTTGATACGAACATAGGTCAGAGCGGGTTTGAACATGTTCGTACATGATCTGCAAACTGAGAAATTCAAGAACAGACGGATACATCACCTGTACATTCGGTAACCCTTCGGACCAATTCTTCCAATGAGATGGCGCTCATGTTGGGGTACATATGGCACTGGCACAGATTTGATGCAGACGAAAACTAGAACTTGATGAAATGCTGGCAAATTTGTGACAAAGTGGGAAAAAATGGCCGGAACACCTGTTACCAGCTCAGTGTATATTAGACCGATCCCTGGAACACGGACGATACCCAAGCTAGGGCCAAGCGTGAGTATCCACTTCATACTGACTTTGTTCTGCAGGTCGAACTCATATTTTTTTGTCGTCCCGTAATGCCATACAAGCATGATGCTCATGAATACTAGAGAGAGCAGTAGCGGAACCCATCCTCCTTCCGGCACCTTGATATACATTGCAGAAATGTACACAGCTTCGATTGAGCCAAAAAATAGGAGGAAACACGCAGCCAGTACGATGCTACGCCTCCAAACTATTAGGATTACCAGTGTCATCAAACAGGTAGTAACAAGCATCACCGTCATCACTGCAAGACCTGCCCACATCAACTAGTTCGTCAACCTCCATCAGGTATTTAAATGGAAATGATGAAAAGGTTAAGTTCCTGCAAGAATTCTGTTTTGGTGCCAAGAGTAAAACTTGCAACTCTTGCAAGTTGAATGGGTAAAAGCAATTCTTTTGTCAGAATACCAGGATAGTCGCAGTAAATTGATTAATCAAGACACCCTCTTAACAAGTATTCCTGCGTGACTTCATACACGCCCAGAACCAGCAATAGACACAAACCTCTTTTACATGTTCATTCTTACCCTTCCCCGTCAATTTCTGGATCACCTAAAAGGAAAGCACTACTTTTCAGTGTTGAGGAAAGTCTGTACCGTAAGCATTGCCGATGGTGATGGTATCTCGGAATCCAACAGTTACAGCCAAGCATAGTACCAGCAACATCCAGTTGATCTCAGGAATGTAAACCTGGCCGTATATTTGTTTGGAAGTGTGCACAACTTTTACTCTTGGAAAAAAACCAAGAGATAAACATTGTTTCACAACCGAGAATGTTGCAGATATGACAGCCTGACTCCCGACGATTGCTGCCAGTGTTGCTACGCAAAAGACAGGCCAGAAGACAGGCTCTGCAGAACCCAAAAAAGAAATAATAAATATTTAGGAAGTGGTTTTTCATGCATGGACAACACTGAAACTATAGCGAAGGATGTACGTGGATTTTGGAACGTTCAATCAGAATTCAATGTAGGGGATCCCGGGGCGAGATTAATCAGATTCCACTTGGGAGTGGACTGAAACTCAGAAGTGCATGATAAATCAAAAATTATTGATATCTTACTCGGAATTGACTTGTAAAAACTCCTTGAAATGTCGTCTCGATGCTTAGACAAAAACGCAGCCTGGCCCATGTATGCTAACAACAAACAAGGGTATACCACACCCCCGAAGGCAATCTGTGCAAAGAAGTGTCACAAATGAATCTTTAATCAACTTGGTCACAATCCTGAATCTTCACCAGCTTGGTTTTCGTAAGTAAACTCTCAAGAGAAATAATAACGATAACAATAATGGTAATTCTTGTTGTTATAATACAATTCATACCGACCATCGTGGACAGAAAAGGAATTTGTAAAAGCTTCATGACTGATAATCAGCAAGTATCATTGGTGAAAGCTTTTACTCGTTGTTTTCAGAGCATTTGTTCATTATACCACTTTCTTCTTAAACCTTAATTTTTCGGATGAAAATATTGCAATTAATCATTTCAATAATCTACAAATCTGTTCTTCAGTGGGCTTTGACCAAGCCCGTCTTTAACTCTCAATTTAATTCTTTGGACTAAAAATACGAACAAAGAAACAAAGAATCCTCTTCCAACCCTTGAATAAAACTTTTTATGGTTATAGCCAATATTCAATCTACAAGAACATTTGCATATACCTTAATTGAGAGCGGGGTGAAGTGGCCAAGATCTGCAAACATGGCCTCCGTCCCTGCCCACGAATCACGAAATTTAATTCAAATGTTTCAGCTGACTCAGATAATATAATTCCACCTTTTGTAATCATTTAAATAATATCCATAGAGAACGGCTTCGCGAAACTTCACAGGTAACAGAATAGATGTAGGAATCCCTTCCTATCAGGAGTCTCCTACTAAAGTTCTAATGCCCCAAGCATGAGACTAAGAGGTGATCGATTGAATCATGCGCTAGCAGCCAGAAATTTACCAAAAGTGATGATCAACAATTAGAACACCAACCTGTGATGCATAAAACGATGCCACCGAGAGACACCCAACCGTCCTTTCCGCATTTTTTAAAAAAGTTGTACATATAGTAGGGGGATAGTGCTCGCCATATATGGGGGTTGTATGTGACGACGTTGTAGACGCCGATGCTGGAGATGCAGAAGAGCCACGCGATCACAACGGGAGCAAATATAAAGGCAACCCGGTGCGTACCATAATGTTGAAGTGCAAATAACCCCACCAGGATGATGCATGACACTAGAATAATAACATCTGTCACAATAGTCCTCCCATCCCACAATTAATAGAGACGAAACATGTGCTATAAATGTTGCAGACCGCAAATCGACTTTCATCCTACACAGGTGTCATCACATTATAGCACATAGCTCAATTCCTGTCGAAGTTAATGTGTGAAAGGAACACTTAATGCTTTCAAGTTCTCTAAAAGCAGGACAAGCAGAAGAATAGAGTTATAACTCACGGTCATGAAGATCAGGTGCCGCAACTTGAATCCCAGATACCGCTGACAACACTGAAATGTCACCACGAGTCAATTCAATTTCACGCTTCGTTTTAACCATCCGGTCTTTAAATATTATTACCCAACATCCTACTGTAAAGATTATCCGCCACAGTGGTGACAGGTTAAGTGACGGATTTTAGCCACGTAATTCTCTTGTTCTTTGATCGAACTGAGTATTTCACCCGAAGATTTGCTGGGTACATCAAACACCAAAAGAATCTATCCAAGTCACAGTGCTCATGAGGATAATACCAACAACAGCGACCACTCTCTTGCAAACAACCTCAAAATGTAACATGAAACTATGCAAGCACTCAAATAACTTTGGTGAGAACTGATGTCCCAAGGGCTCATTTGAAAATTGAGATGGTAAAACGAAAAGTAACACAGTACCAGAGATGGCAGGGGTGAGAACACCGTCCCCTATAACCATACAGGTCCCCAACAGGACTACTATTAGTAGCACCGTCCGAAGCTTTTGATGTTTCTCAAGTATCTTCTTCATCCATATGTCGCGATTTGATTCTTGCGGCGCTTCCAACTTGTAAGTAGATAATTCCTCATCGGCTGCTTGTTGATTTGGCAACAGACTTAACTTCGCATGCCGACATAGAAGAGAATAGAGAGCAAATGTTCCACCTGTACGAAACGATCCCGGCATGCAAAGCAATGCATTTTAAACGTTAAGCTATCAGTGAAAAAAAATAATAAATAATAAAAATGGTATATGACCACCCATAAGCCGACCGAAAAGTAACAATAAGACACACTGTAATTTATTCGATTACATATGGATTCAGATAGTAGCAGAAAAATGCATAACATACCTTCGCCATTGTCATCCGCGGCCAAGACAATGAAGACGTACTTGATGACTGGAATAATCGTGAGTGTGTAAATGATGAAGGACAGAACCCCCAGAATCTCATCATCATTTTCGTGCATTCGAAGCTTCCCTGCAAATGTGCTGCGGTAGACGTATAGAGGTGATGTACTTAAATCGCCATATATCACTCCGAAGCTCTGATATGCCAGCAACAGAATCACCTTGAGTGACGCATTCTGCATCAAAAACACGAGAACAAAGAACCTATTAATACAGCCAAAATACTTCAGTTCCAATTTACCAAGAAAGCGACGTATTAGTGCAAGAAGGATGCAAACGACGAAAAAGAGAGAACGAGCTCTCCAACCATTTTCGCAGATCGTTGCTGTAAATGCCTGGTTGTGCATCTCATGTGAATCGCCATGAGTGACGGTATTGAGGCTATAACATTAAACAACAGCCACTGTATGTACACTTATGAATCTGGACTAAAATGAAACGGAAAGTTGATATTTCAGTCTACATCATATTCACTTCGTGCCACTATTACAATTTTATCATGTCATTGATACAACATGCGACCCAACTGTCTAAGCAAAAGTGCCTAGCTCTTTCGTGGCCGTGAAATGAACGCGTGTAAGATAATCCAGTATGCTCAGCACAGAGTCTAAATCTATATCAAACTCGAGGCTTTAAAATTAGCAATTGTGACTCATCTCACTATCAAACTCCCTTTGGTGGCATGAACACCCACCATCACTAGTATGCTCAGCAGAAGTTTTAAGCTCTTTCCCAGTGGCAACTCGATAACATTGATTTAACTTGTTCCTTACTGAAATGTGACGATTCCCAAGGAGGAGGCACTTGCATGGTGCCATTCAATACTAAACTTCTAACGAAATTGCAACGTCGTAAAACCTCCTTCAACGTTGTAAATCATGAAAGTGATTTAAAACTTGCATTTCTGATTCACCTAGGAACAGAAACTTCACAGATGTAGTCATGAAGCGTAAAAAGGAGTTCCTGCACGTTGCAAAGTTATAAATGTGCTGTTTTTTCATGGTGCGGATTATGATGTCCTTACTTCGAAGTGGTCATAGCAACATAACTATTCTGAAGACCACTGAAAACAATCTTTTGCAGACGAACAACCAAAAGATCCCCTTCCTGCGATGCCGGTGACTAGAAGCCACTAGACAGCATTGGTATGTGCTTCGGTTCTGAACAAAATACTGACCTTACTGCGATTCGAGACCTAGTACTAGTTCCGTAAAGCATATCCAGTAGCGAAGAAAACTAGCTCTTCCGACTCCCGAGCAAGGAGGCAGTGAATGGTAGTGGGCAGCTATGTTCACGCAGTGGTGACCTCATAATCGAACGAAGTCCGAGGGTCGACACTTAAACTCCAATCTCCCCTCTATTCAAGTCTTGGAACAATACCTGAGGTTTGAAAGCCGAAGATCTGACAGTTTCTGAGTCTGTTGCCGACATGATGGAAGAAGATCGGCACACATATGTAGAAGAGCATTTGGAATACCAAGAAAGCACCGTCGCGAGGCTTAAAAGAAGCTTGGTAGTGGAAGCTGGCGTCTTAAAACAAGAGGCGAGTGATACTGCAGGACTGACTGCATGAAGGAAATGTGGCACAGCAAGTACTACATGAGTAACTCCTAATACCTAATGCTACTGCCTCCGCCGTACACCCTGCTATCCCACGGAGAAGGTGAGTTTGTCGTCCCACCCCTTCGACCACATATGGCAAAACCGACTACTGCAAAATGTACTGGATTAATTTGGACGTTGCCGTGATGGTCTATCCAGCGCCACTGAAGTTGTCTACTGCTTCGATTACTGTATGAAAGCAGAACTATTCCTGAAACCGCAGTCAGAAAAATGATGATTCCAGTGAAACTTGAAACAATAGGACGAAATTCCCTGAGAGGTTGACAGGAGATCCGGGACTAATCCATCGAGGCTGCCACATGATAATAATACGCTTTATTCCAACTAGTAAGGCATCAACGACTCCATTAATTTAGATTAAAAAACAAAAACGAAGACAATTGACCAGGGGAGGGAGGCGGAGTTGTGCACTTTATCAAAGAGCAGAGATTCGATTCCGCGATTATAACTCTCGAAAGACATGAGCCTTCGAGCGCGACACCGAAATGGGAGGAAAAAAAACAAAAATAAAATAACCACACACACAAGCAGCACACCACAACATACAGCCAGGAGCGGTACGAGTGGGCCAATGATAAGGCAGAGAAGCTTGAGTGGTCGTCCTCACTAATTCACAAAGACGAAAGCAGCAGAAAGAGAAAGTGAGAGAACCGGAGAAGAGGACGAGGAAGGAAGAATAAGACGGGAAAGAGGCACGGAGAAGAAAAAGCGGTCGCAGAAGCAGTATGAGCATGGGAAGCGAAGACAATGAGCGTTGCACAAGAGCAACAGAGTGAAGAATAGTGGCGAGAACCACCACCACCCCTACGACTCCTCCTCCTTGTGCTGTTTGGAGGAGAGACCAGGAATGGTAGCGAGAGAGCCAAGACACAAACTAAGCAAGCAAGCAAGCTAATCCAACACAACACAACAAAACAAAACACAAGGCAAATCAATGCAAAGCAAAGCAATGCAACGGGGGGAAGGGAGAATGGAGGCACAGCGTGAGGACTGACTGACTGACTGACTGACCCGGGGGGTGGGGGATGGCACCATCCAACTACTCTCGTACTTATTATCATTTGCTTTGTTACAATTATATTGTATGTGTTTAAGAAGAGACTTAATGTGGAACACTTGTAAAACTCACTGTTATGTGGGTGCTACAAAAATTACAATCGCAAAACACTCAACATTTGCAAAAAAAAAATTTATAGCTTGGGGGGTTAATACGCATATATATATATATATATATATATATATATATATTTTTAAAACGTTGTGTTTGAGCTACTTGTTTATGAAATCAAAAGAAAAGCAACTAGCTTAAAGTGGATTAGAGAATGGATGCCTCGTCCTACATTTTCCTCAACTGCATATGAAATCCGGAATGCAACCAACAATCTGGTGAAATACCGAGTTTGTTCAGAGCCTATCCTCGAATAAACCATTCTGACAATCGTGAGTCAAAATGTTGAACACGGGGTAAACATGTCCAAACACAACAGGTCGGCATCGCCTTTAACATGGTGCAAGCAGAATATGGGAAATGGCAAACATACAAGCTGGGACGAGGAAGTGATTTGGAATGGCAAGGGTGACCTGGAAGTGGCAGTAAGCAGCCACAACCACCTTGCTTGGCTGTTTACAACCAGCCTCGTGACTGCTTGATTTTGATTTTCAAAAATTGCTCTTTGACTGCACATATTGATCATGAGCTCTACGTCTGGCTTGACTTCTTGCCAACTGAAAGTCCTAAGAAAAAGAAAAAAAGACTAAGGTGGAAACTGAAAGGCTTACAAATTACAGTCTACACTGCACTAAATGTGTCGAGCAAACCTCGTTCCTAATGAGGCACTCGAGAGTTTCCCAACGCAAAGTGGGATTCCTGATACATTCAGAACTATTCAGACAGGTGCAAGTATGCCTGTTACATCTCAGGCGTCTGGTGTTATTGGTGAATCACACCACCCGAGCTGGACTTAAAAGAGAATCATCTTTTAAGTTTGGCTTGCTTTCCACGTGGTGCACCTCTTCAGCAGATGCTTCCTCCATAACTTCGCTGGCGACGCATCTACCGGTGGTCTCGTGCTCGGACGGGGCGGCCTTGCCGGCGGGGACAGGACCTTCTAATAGCCGACTCGTTGAACCAACAGAGCCCCAAACCAGATTTAACGACTGCCCGTGAAACCACCTGCCCTGCGTCATGGCTCTTTCCGCACTCCGTCGGGTTGTGTAGCTTATCCGTACGGAGCTGTTCGTGCTCCACGTCTGTTCTGGGTCCGCTTTGTGACCCTCGGCATCCTCGACTTCTACGCTTGATAGCTCACCAAATGCGGCGAAATGGTCTCTTACAGCTGCAACCTGTTCGCATCCGGAGCAAGACTCTTAATCTCAGAATAGGCGCACTGTTACCCCACCTCAACAAATTCAAAATAAACCCTGGCAAAAACTCTGCTTATTGGGCGTACCCAGGCTAGACTCGCTTCCTCGCCTGCCTCAGCAATTAGAAAGGAAGAAGGCACATTGACACTTACATCAGTAACTGTGGACGGAAGTGGGGGTAGAACCCTGAAAGCCGTGGTGCGGTTATCGAGTTTGAATCGTGCGGGGCCCCAAGAAGCTGCGGGATGTCCCGTAGACGTCCCTGAAGCTGTTCGAGGGTGGGGAGATCTCATAGGCTTAGATGGCACCTGTCGCACACCCACCTGCGCGACTTCCAAAGAATTTGTCTTCCTGAGGCCAAAATTAGTGGGTAAACTGATAACACCAGCACCTTCTTTGCACGGTATCGCGTCGCCAGAATTGTCTATTTTCTGCCGCTTCCTGGCATGGTCTCCTTGAGGGTCTTCCGCTCCTGTGACTCCCTGAAACCAAGCCAGGTGTATCAGCAAAGAACCAAAAAAACGCACCGATAAGCGTTGCGGAGCAGGAAATTCCGAAATATTAGGAGCACGGGCTACTGTTCTTATTTTCCAAGACCCACCATATCACTGCTAGAGACTACAATATTCATGGCATCCACCTGCTAAATTGTAGTCTCTAGCAGTGGTATGGAGGGTCTTGGAAATTAAAAACACGAAAAGACCACGAAAAGACGACTCTACAACCACTCCAACAACGCAGCTTTATGTTGCATCCCACTCACACTGGTGAGATTGTCGCATTCAAAGACTTAACATTAAACTCGAGACTATTTGCAGGCGCACGATTTACCTGGCTGGCGAGCTTATTTAGCTTCCGCCGAAAGTCGTCGCGTTTCTGAGCGAGGGCCTCTTGTTTCTGACGAATCTTCTCACGCATTAGCTCGAGTTCCTCCTGCTTCTTTGATGCCACAGCTACTGGGCTGGGCAAGGAAGATGTGGAACCATTCGGCGTAGTAGCTTTGTTGCTGCCTTCTGCGGTTGAGGCTCCTGACAGGCCGGCAACGACTCCATTCAGACCAGTCAAACTCAGCTTTTCCCTACCTTTTACCAACTGTGCAGTATGGCCACCTGCAGGCTCAGAGCCAGTGGTTGGCGGCTGACCAATAAAAGAAGTGGAAGCGCCATTGTCACTAGTGATACTATCACGGTTAGCCCACGACAATCGTATGAAGCGGTTCCCCAATACAGCATCGGGGGAAGCCAATGCCGACTCTGCCTCTTCTCGAGTAGCAAACTGGACAAAGGCTCTGTGACTGTGTGGCGGAATTCGAACATCCACAACACGTCCAAATTTTTCAAAGTGCGTAAGCAAGACTTCTCGCCGGTTTGAATTGGGAGGTATGCAGTTCACATAGAGTGTGCGTTGAGCACGTTCTACGCTGCGCCCAGGAGCGCGTGGCCCCAAGTTGGTCCCCTCTTTGGAGCGGTTCAATGGAAGACCTACCTCTGCCCACCCGGCAGCGCCTCGTTCTCGTCCAGGATTTGTATTCAGGTTGGTGGCTCCGCTGTCAGATTCGCAGTGACCCCATCTTCCTGGCTGCCACGAAACTCCTCTCCCCTGGCTCAGATGATCCTCTACCTTCACCTCCCCACTAGCAGCGCTTACATCTACAGGCCCAATACGATCCCACACAGTGGACCCTGCGTCTCCGCTATGCAAGCCGCTGCTGTTGGCACCTCTGCAGCCACCATCAGTTCCTCGCCCCTCCGTGTTCTTCTTTAGTTCTGTTTTCTCTTTTCCCACTTCAGAGTGTTCCGCCTGAAACGCTGACAACTTTCTAATCCTTCCCGTCGCCTCGGGTCTGTCTTTATTCCAAAGCGGTTGATCAGGGTCATATAGATCAGGGTCATACAGGTCAGCCTCGGCACCAGGCACTTGACCATTCACCGTGATCGAGGCTTCTAATGGAGAAATGCTTGGCTCTCGGTTCCCCCGGCTACCTCGAGAACTTGCAGGTGCAGGAGCGGGTAGCATGGCATTGGAGGCTGTCATCTGCCCGGCCGCCACAGCCATACCTCGCCCATATGGCAGGTTGACGGGTAGGTTGAATTTCGACAGGCTCTGCAGGAGGAGCAACAATCAAAACGCTTAGCTGAAGGAATTAAGTTTCCTACTTCCGACCGCCCAGGGCGGCCATTGAACCCCCTGCCTAAAGTTCCAGGTGACCGAATAATCATGCCCATAACTCCCACCACCATATACTAGCAAGGCCTAAATTCCCGCGAACAATATCCCAGATTCAACAAAAAGGACCAAGTTCTCACCACGTCCCATTTTCACACGCCTCTCCTTTCAGTGTCAAAAAAAAGAAGCCAGTCATACACGCGATGGAACCTATGCATCTCATTGCACCTACACAATACGCACCAAGCCATCACGACTTCCGTGCCCTCGCTTTGGAAAGAGGCCATAGCACCGCACCGAGTGGTGGAACATCTTACCTGCACATCCTCCACGACGATGTGGGAACCATGATCCATCGGACACAGATCTCCTCGAAGACAAAATCCTCGCTCTTCGAAATCCAGGCACCTCGGTCGCACAGGTCCTATGCCCATTCCCATCCCTAGGTTCATAACTCCGGGTGGTCCTCGCCCGCCATGCGAGAGCTCCAACGAACCAGCTCCCATGCCACCCATGTGCCCAAACCCTCCGGGCCACCCAACCCCGCGCCCACCCAAGCCCCTGCCGTTTGGGAAAAAACCTGCGTTTGGGGGCAAAGGAGGCGGTGCATCGACAAAGGGAGGCGGCATAGGACCAGCCCAACTCCCGGCCCCTCTGCCGCGACCCATACGCACTCCATCGAGCCGCACGTTCGGTGCGTCCCCCCGAAATGGAGGACCGCCCCCTCGTATTAGACCCCGCTCAGCTTGGTCTCCGTTGCTGAACCGACCTCCAGCATCACGACCTGTCCGTCTATCAAACTTTGACGACCTTTCTCGATCGAATTGACCTCCTCCTCTCCCATGGTCACCGGCTTGGCGTTTGAGATCGTTTGAACCACCTCCGTTGTACCGGGAAACATTAGGTTCGTCTACTCTGTCTGCAGACCGGGATAGAGAAACTCGGCGCCGATGCTTGTGGTTCCGATCGTCATCACTGCTTTCTTCTTCCTCCAACTCGTCGTCCCAATCCTGAGCGCCAGCACTCGGTAGCCTCTCTACATGAGAAGGTGATATTCTGGTCTCTGCAGCACCAGCAAGGGACTCCGTGTTATGGAGAGGCTTGACACCTGCTACGTCTTCCATTCCGGAGGGGATCGTTCCGTCGTCAAGAGCATGAAAGAGGTTGACGATGAACAATTTTGTTCCTGCACCCACGGCTGGTACAATGTGATTAACAGAAATCCTTCCTTCCAACCATCTATACACAAATGCCCACAGCCGCTCCTTTCCACATTTCACAGAGCTTTGACTCTGAGCACAAGGCCCAACCAAGGGAAGGCAGCTTGTCAAGTGAGGCAAGTTCAACCGTGGACCATGAACTGACCTTCTCCCAGAAAGTCGTACAGCTGGTCCACGCACAATGTCTGAAGTTCCTTCCTGGGCTTACTCTTCTTTAACAGCGCCGCAACATAGACAGCAAGCAAAGTAGGGTCTGCATCAGTCCTGTACACCGTATTAAAGTTGGATTCAGTCATATCACCACATTTGCGCGGAACAGTTTTTAATTTCCTCTTTACAGCTTGTTTTCTGGATGTTCGCAAAAGAAACCCGGTAAGGATGATCGTCCACCCATATTTATGTCTAACATCCTCCCAATTCAAAGATCTCCTCTACTTACTCGCCTTACACTGCGCACCATCGTCGCTAGCCATTCAATCTACCGGAAATAATGATGCGGTCTCTTCGTGTGAATGTCGCAGAGACACCAACCCTTTTGGTGTACCACCAACCATTCGTTTACAGCTATACACCACGCACTACGACAGCTCTCACCGTTCGTTGCTCCGCCTGCCTACAAATCAAAAACATTCACAATCGTTCGAACTTTCGCCTGAGCGGTAACCCGCTGAACAGTGCTTGCATTGCATCTACTTGACCACCGAGTGAATGTAACGCCCAAATTCTCGCAATTCGAACGACATTTAATCCTCAACCAAGCCCCGACGCTTAACAAGTTCTTTTCCGCGTTCTTTTTGTAATTTTTCTCTTTACAAAAAAGTAAAATAAAGAAAAACAACAAACAAACAAACACACACACACACACACACACGAAAATCTACAACTGCGAAGACTTATCTTTTCTAACCTAGAACAGTTTGCATGAGTACGTGACGAATGTCTGGATCATACTAGTCAGCTCAGTCGGGCTGCCAGAAAGAGGACCTAGAGCAGGAACTACTGATGGCCAGCCACTACAAATTAATTGAGTATCAAAAGCTAGCACGTAGGTGCTACCCGAGCGCACAAAGTGAATCCCGAATTTGCACACGAAATCTCTTTAATGCCATACATTCTGTCAGCAGTCCTTCTGAAAGAGTGGATTAATTTTGCATCGCCTGAAATGCTCAACCACTGCGCGAATAGGAGTATCGGCAGAAGAGACTACAGGGGGCAGAGTAATCCGAAGCATAAGAAGATAGACTGAAAGCACTCACAATGGTTTTAGGTGTTCGATCAAGTAGAGATTCAGAGGCGTCTCGTCAATCTTCATGCTGCTCCTCCTTGCCCTACACAACCTTCCTTCTCACCATCTCCATCCCAGCGCAATACCGCTATCCAAACGCCGTACCATAAACGCCTCCAAAGTCCGCCATAACCAGAGCACCCGGGCGCGCGTGCATCAAAACGAAAGCGGGAAAAAAAAAAAAAAAAAAAAAAAAAAAAAACACACACACACACACGCGCGCAGACAGGGAACGAGAAGGGAAGAAAAGAAGAAGAAAGCAAGGGAACAGGACAAAGACAAAACAAGACGAGACGAGACAAAATCAGCAGCAACAACGAAGAAGGCAGAGACGAGGGCAGAGGTGTGACGTGAAGAGAGGCGAGTGGAACAGCCGCGAGGGAAGAAGGGAAGGCGAAAGCAAGAGTGGAGCGGTTACGGGGCAGTGGGGGCAGCCAGGAATTGGATAGAATTGAGAGCATAGCAAAGACAAGGAATCAGATTACGTGCGATTTTAGGGGTGTGAGCACCAAACCCTAATTCTGGATCCTCTTGAATGAAGCACCCCCTCCGACAACCTCAGACACACACACCCAAAAGTGTAATTTCCATTGCTTGAAGAGTGTCATTGCTCGACTAGCTCCACTTTAGTCAGTACCCCCCCCCCCCCTTGGGGTGTGCTTCACTTTGCATAAACCCCACCTGACCATACTGAATTGAAGAAACAGAATTGAGCAAATATGCTGCCTACAAGGTGCCATTCAGGTGGATGAAACTGAGGAGAAAACACCACCCACAGCAGAAAATATCGGGAAGAAAATTGATGAGTAATATCATCATGCACCATGATTCAGTAATGCATCAATGATCCAAATGTATTTGTGCTTATTCCTCTCTCCTGGGGACAATCCATACCTCCTTCAGACTCTATGATTGGGTCATTCCACACTCAGCGCTTTCAATGTGTGAAGAAATGTGGAATTATCGTATTCTGGACTGTGTTTATGAATGGTCTACTTGGTCTTGTATAACATTGAAACATTTCATAAATAACCTGTATAAAATTTATAGTATACAAAGTAAGTTTTTATAGTATAGTAAGTATAGCACACAAAATAACTTTAAAAACTGTGCATGTCTATTTGAGAATTTATAATGTTGTATGGATGTTATTGCTGTATTATTACATTAATCTTCTTTCCTGAATCAATGATTCTATTGTGAAGCAAGAGTATTAATAATGTTCAAAAGCAATATTTAGGTATTTGTAATTAAGAAAAAAGATGTGTTTGAGTCAAATGATTAAAACTTTTTTTCTCCAAATTAATCAAACAATTAGCTTTTAAGTTATCCTACAACTATGACAAAGTATTAAATGCATCAAATAAATCTATACATAGATATAGATATAGCTATATATACAGGAGAATGATAAAGTGACCCAAATTTTTACTAAATTGCCCCAAATTGTCAAAACCATCATTATACTCCCGTCTTCCATCCCTATTCACGTATTTCCAATCCTCTTGTTCTTGTTCTCCATCTAAACCTTCTAGACCCCATTCCTAGCCACCTCATATGATAACCAAGTATTGCCGCTCAAGCCAAGAGTTGAATCTCAAAGCTCTGAGCAATGAACCACATGCCCTACTCTTAAGTCCCGCAAGCTCCAACAATGGAAGTCTAGCCACAGTCTGTGAGCAAATCATGCTCAACAAGCTCAAGGTGGCCATATCTCTAATTCACTTAGTGATGCTCTGATTAGGCTATCCATAGCTCTAACTGTAGATAAATACTTTAAAATACCTTCAATCATAATTCACAATTCAGCAAGTCTATAAGGCAATATCAAAGGGTGATTATCCAACTTAATGATGCTTGATGCTTACAATGTAATATACACCAAGAAAGCAATTTTATGAGCAGAGAAAAGTTTAAGAAGGGATGGAGGTTTTGGGGAGCTAAGTTCTTTGCAAAATATCAGACTATTGATGTTACACATATCCTAGAGAGAAGAAACTGAAAGCCTAGAGTTTTATAACTCAAAAAACAATTGGACGTGTATTGATTTAGTTTGGGGAGTATACATTCTAGAAGAAGATGCCATTTGATTATATTCAGGTAAATATCAACTTCATGAATATTAATATTGATTTTTAGTTGGGTTGAGTTAGATGTATGTTCTAGCTTAGATGAAAAAAAAAAAAAAAAAAAAAAAAAACACTTTTGTGCCTAATCATGTCTTATATACATAAGAAGAAGCCTAGATTTAAAGAAGATTTTGAATTTGATATGGAGCAAAGCAAAGGGCTGTTGGTTTATTATTTGTGAGTACATTCTAATTTTTTAATACTTTTAAATTATTTTGTATATGCATTCTTCATTTGGAGAATATTAGTAGTCATAATTGTTTTGATATTTGTATCATATAAGCACACTATCTGTGTAATACTCTATTAAGACAATTAGTATGTTTTCTTATTAGCATATTCTAATCAAAAAAGTAGTGTAAAGAGAAACATGTATAATAGGATTTAAGAGTCAAACAACAAGATATATTTTGTTATCAACTTTCTTCCTATACGTAAGGCATTTGTATGGTTCATGGTTTGAGTTCTCACAAATTGAGATGATGTTTAAGTTCTACAAGAAGAACAACTTTGATTATAGGCAAGTATTTACCACAAATAGAATTGAAGCATCTCTAAACTAGAGCACGTAAAATACTTGATTCTAGAATGCACCTTGGAAAATGGTCATTTGCAAAAATTCAAGCTTTGATGGAATAAGTATTTTCCAATTATTGTGTGATATTCTAAATCTTTGTAAATGTTTAGTGGAGCTGGCATCGAAGTTGCAAGATTATTAATCAATTTATCATTTTATGAATCATTCAATCTTGATAATAATAACTAGATAAATTGATTGTTGTAGACTGTAAATTGTGATTGAAGGTGTTTAAAAGTATTCATCTGCAATTATTGCTACAAATAGCCCAGTCGAAGCATCGCCAAGTAAATTGGAGAGATGGCTACTTTGAGCTTGTTGAGCATGAGTTCCCTACAAACGGTGGTTGGTTTCTTGTTGTTAGGACGTACAAGACTAAAAAGCAAGGCACATGGTTCATTGTTCTCAGCTTCGAGGTTCAACTGTTAGATTGGGCAGCAATGCTTGGTTGTTGTATGAGGTAGCTAGGAACAGGGTCTAGGAGGTTTGGATGAAAAATAAGGATGAGAAGATTGGAAATGGCAAGAACGGGGATGGGGGATGGAAGCATAATGATAGTTTTGACAATTTGGATCAATTTAGTAAAAATTTGGGTCATTTTTTAATCCTTCTCTCTCTATCTATCTCTCTCCCTCTCTCTCTCTTTCTCTTTATATATATATATATATATTACCACAACTATGATTTCATATAGTTTGGGCATAATAAGAGATTATAACATAAGCATTGTGTGATGACAATAAATTGTCAAAAGCTCAAAATAGGACACATAGGATCAAAATATGAATAACACAAATTATGGCAAGAACAAAACAAAGAAAGTATTATCCTAAATTCCAAGGTCTTGTTTAGATATTATTGTATATATAAAAGACTAAAGCAACTACTCAAGTAACACTATTGTAGTAACATTTATTAAAAATTTAAAGAATATAGTTGATTAAATATTAGAAATGATTTAAAAAATAGGAATAAGTATTATTGAAGTGATTTATAATAATTGTAAGCAAACTGAGTTGTTTCTAAGAAAGTACATACTAACTTTGTGGAGCATGTAAAAGATTGAATTTTATTTGTTTTGATTGGCAAAAGACATGTGCACATACAATATTGAAATTAGTAAAAGCCTTTTGACCAAAATCACTAAATATGTCTATTAAGATAGATTTTATTTTATATTATTTAAAAAAAAATCAACAAACGAAATTCTATAGGATAATTCATATTATGGATAATTAACTTCCAAATAAGATAAATATTAGATTCTAACTCCAATAGATGAACCATTAGATAGACAATTTTTAAATTTGTCACTTCTTCTATTACATATCTTGACCTTCCTATCTTTGATTTGCATCTTCATTGATTTTTATTATAAAGCTATAATCCCAAAGGCTACATCTCAATGACATGCTTTAATGTGTTATTCTTAAAATTAAGAAAAGACTCTTACTACTAATCATTTTCTAATAGTTATTTTTTATAAATGTTTTAAACTTTTCAACAAAGAAGATGCTTTGCTACTGTCTTAATAATAATTAGTTTGTAAAATGTAATTGTAAAGTTAACATATATTCTAAAATATTATTATGTGATTTATAAAAATTATAAAATATTAATAAAATAGACTTGGTTTTATTTTTATTATAATATAATTTAAATTATAAAATAATTATATTAAAAATTTGAATATATATCATTTTAAAATAATTAATAAAATATTTATATAAAGAAATTAGAATTTTGAAATATCTCATAGCCAAAACGAAATATATTAAAAATATTTCAAATAAGGATTGTATTAAAAATAATGTTTATGGTGCCTTTTGTAAAATGATATTTAAAAAGTAATTGATAAACAACCAATTTGCATTTTATGTACATATAATATTAACTAAATTTACATAAGTTGAATTATTACAGTATATTTTAATTTTTCTTTTTTACTAAATCTATGAATAAATAGAACTACAACCATTTGAAAAACATTCTAGCAAAAAAAATTAATAAAATTAAAAAATTCTTTTCTATGTACAATTTTTTTTATAAATAAATTAAGAAATGTTCATCTACAACTCTTGGCATATTAATTATAAGTAAAGAATTTTTAATCATATCAATTTTCTTTTGTTATGAGTAATATATATATATATATATATATATATATATATATATATATAGATATTTTTTTTCTCCATTGCACAAATTTTTTGAGTATTAAAAAAATCCAAAATGTGATGTTGTTAAACTCTTTTTCCTTCAAAGGAGCACGAGATGGCTTATCCATCACATGACACACATATACCCAGTTTCTACATTCACAGAAGAGGATTCATTTTGCATTCAACAATAAATGCAACTATCTTCATCTTCTGCTTCATAATCCAATGAAGCAATGGACCCAAGAAAGCAATGCAGCAAGAGGGTGGGGAGTGGGGGGTTAGGGTTTAGGGTTTTGAAAGGCAGGTGGTGGATGTGGAATCTTATCCTCCTCTTGATCCTCCTCTTGTGGGTGTGTTTGTGTTTGTGGGTGTGTGTGTCCTCCTCCTCCCTTTCCTTTCCTTAACTTTACTTTTCCCCATTTCCATTTCTCTCCGCCCTCCCTCCCTCCCTTCTCTTTCATTTTCTGGTTTTGTTTGTTTTCTGTTTCTCCTTCTTCTACTTCTGAGCCTTACAAGCTTCTTCTGTCGCGCGGATGTTGCTGTTGTCTCTTCTTCACTGTTTGTGTTGCCGCTAGCTATGTCTACCCTTCTTCGAGCCTCGCCTCCTTCTTCCTTGCTCCATGAACACTTCATCTTGCATTACGTCGTGAGGTCCTCTTCTCTCTCTTCCGCCATTTCTCCTCACTCGTTGCGAACTATCTCATCATCCTCCCACTTATCTTTCACTAACCCAATGCCCTCCTTGTCTAACATTCGTCACCCCCGGATCCTCCCAATTTCGCCCTTATTCTCGTCTCCACGTATTTCCTGCCATCACAAATGCTCGTCAAGCGTTGGGGCCTTTGGACTTGGGGGTTTTCGTAGTTTGCAATCCACTAACTCCGTTGGACAAGGTATTCAGAGAAGAGCAGTTGAGCGCGACAGTGGAGACCACAATGCCAAGCACATGAGAGATGTAGCTTCATTTGATGACGTTGATAATCAAATTTCGCAGGAGCTGGAAAAAGATGCTGCTCGTTCAGAGCTCAGGAACGCAGAAGTAAGACCGCAGACACGGAAGAGCGCAAATGGGATATTGAGCTACAAAATTGTATCTTCTGGGTCAAGTAGCGATGAAGAGGATTTCGTTGAGAGGAGTCGTAACCGGCAGAGATTCACTTCCAGTGCGGTGAATGTAGAAAATCATTCCACGGATCGCAATAGGAAAGTTAAGGTGAATGCAGATAAGAAGAAGCGTTCGCTTGATGTCACGGCGATTCGCAATGTAGATACCCATACTGCACCTGAAAATGGCGAGGAGGAGATCAAGGTTTTCGAGAAGTGGGCATCGATGAAAGTTAAGGAGGAAGGTTCAAGTGTGGAACCTGTCATAGTAGAGATGCGAGCATCTTTGCTTCAGAGGTTAGCAGGGGATTCTCAGCCTCTCACAGTAGACGGTATTTCTGAATTACAAACAGAGTTTCCGAATGCAAGGTCTCAAAGTCTCGATTTACCCGCAGAGAAGGATCCACTGGCCTTTGTGGATCCGGCAAAGAGGCCGATTGTTATCAAGCGGAGCTCTAAAGTTCCGGAAGACTGGGATGGTCCAGGAGGCACAGTTGTCCTCATCGACAAGCCTCTAGGTGATGTAACCTTCGTATTGATACGAAGAAAATCAGAATGGCGTGCTTAATTGAATGGATAACAGGATTTGGATTCGGGCCTAAGTCCACTGAAAGGACTGTTCTGGGATGGTGGGTTGCAGGTTGGAGCTCTTTCGCAGTATGCGGTAAGCTACGCCATATGCTTGGAATAAAGAAGGTTTGAGAGCTCTGACCTTTAATTTCGATACCGATGAGTATTTGCAATGAAGCAAGTGATTGTCACACGATTACGGAACCTGACCCTGATGATGGTTTTAGGAGAAACCCTGATATGACCATAGTTCAACATCAGTGATGTGCAACATGTTATCGAGATTGATAAGGTATAGTTATTTGCAGAGTCTAGTCAGAGACTATACTTGTAGTGTTAAGGATCTGCTGCAGGTAGTCGTTTCTAACACCAAACACTTAGATTGTGGATTGACAGGGAGATTGCGTTTGTACATTTTTGCAGGTGGGCCATGCAGGCACGTTGGATCCCTTGTGTACAGGTCTTCTGATAGTTTGTGTGGGCAGGGCTACCAAATGCGCAGACAGGTTAAACATGTTTTCACACATTTTTATTGAAACATAACATATAATTTTGTATCATATTTGACCAATTTTCTGAGAATGACTGAGCAGTTCATGATGGAATCCACTTTTATTTAAATTATACTATTAAAAGTGCGTACATCATCATCTGGATATTGTACCACAAATAGTTTCGCCAGATCTTAGGCAACAAGTACCTACCAACCAACGTATTCGCATGAGATTTTTAAGGGTTAATTGGGATTTGAGTGCATTCTAGGTTCATTTTGTCAAACGTGTGGTTGTATACATGGAATTATCTTGCGTCGATGAAGTTCATTGTGGGTAGATGGAAAACAGAATCAGCTGGGTCTATCGGAGAATCTTATTGTGATAGTGGTTGTTGTGTTCCAGCTATCAGGCCATGACTAAGGTTTACAGTGGGACAATGCGGTTTGGTGAGGCGACACCGTCCCTGGATGCTGGCACACCGGTTGGTTGTTACCCTGTTTGGTCGTGAGTATAGTATGCCTCCGAAAAGCAACTGCAAATTTTTTTCAGACTGATTGATGATTGTGTCAACGTTGATAAATCATTGAGCTTTTAGAGTAAATCATAATAATGCTCATCATGCAGGTAAGCGAAGAGTTGCCGTGGGAACAAATTCAGGAGCAGGATATTCAGAGTGCAGTGGAGAAATCTTTTCAGGGAGACATCATGCAGGTCCCTCCCATGTATTCAGCCATTAAGGTGCGACTTGGTTGTATTACTCTTCAAAACTTTGCACTTTCCACCCGGGGACCATCTTGTATTTCATGCATACCTTCAAGTGCTTATTATACACATTTTCACAATATTGCAACTCTTTTCAGTTGCATCTTCGAGAACTTGGAAAGACTGATCATTAGTTTACAGGTGAAGGGCGAGAGACTTTATACGAAAGCAAGGCGTGGAGAGGAGATTGTAGTGCCACCTCGACCTGTCAAGATCTATGATTTTCAATTAAAACGCAGCTCAAAGAATAGGTTTCTCACAATCTTCATCAATATTTCCTTTCTTGTATTGTATTCTGGATCACATGTGCCTTCATTAGGTATTGCAAAAGTTCATTTAACTAAGCTTATTTCTTTAAGTGAGTTTGGTGATCCTCATTTGGAATTCTATGAGGTGTTTGTTCTATTCTGCGGGGCTCATTGTGTTTCTACATCGTTCCTTTGTCCAGGCAAGAATGGGATTTCCACATTGTGTGTTCTAAGGGAACTTATATCCGCTCCTTATGTGCCGATCTCGCGCGCTCACTGAATAGGTACGAATACCTGTGAAATCGGAAATGTAAAGTTCTAGTTTCGGTTTACTAACAGTTCATAAACTAAAGCCGTTGTAGTTTTAGTTAATAGCGTATGTACGTTACCATGAATGTTGCTAGAATTCACGGCAGTGGACTGTTGGGCATTAGATGCTATGCAAGAAGTTTTCTTTTGAGGGTGCAAAGTAGGGGTGCGTTGAATTTTATGTTCTTAACCATGTTTATTTCGCCATCATCTACTGATCCTTCTCACAATACACCCATAAATTATCTCTGACTCATTTCATGTTGTTCAGCTGTGCACATCTCACTGCTCTGAGGCGAGAGAAAATAGGTATGAAGTTATCACATGTATGCCTAATCTGTTTTTCACTTGAAGTATTAGTTTGATTATTCTGTAGGACATGTTGCAGAAAACAGTTGGTTTGAAATACTTGCATCCAAAATTCGTAGCCACTTGCGACTTGTATGGCAGTTCAGCTGATGGTTATGGATAAAATCATGTATCTAGGTCAGCAGCCAGTATTGGCCGGCTTATATTAATCCTGAGGTTTTGGTTGTCGCAGGTAATTTTAGTGTGGAGGACGCATGGCCCATTGAAGAATTAGAAACATTCTACAGGGAAGTTTTAAAAGTTCCTTTTCGATCATACAAAAAGAGTAGGTGACGCAACTTATGTGATAGTGTGGCGCTTCCCAAGAATGGCTGTATTGCGCAACAAACAAGTTGTCTCATCAGTGTTGGAAAATGTCAAACGTCTGAGGTGTGAACTGCGAAGGTGATTGAATTCCTGGTCTCGGCCTGTGTCGAAAACCAGTCTCTGCCCGAGCTTGAACATTATGACCTTGCCTTTTTGTTGATGTGGATAAGCCATGAATCACTCTAATCGGCATGTTTATGTCGTATATTTCCACTTTCTGCTCCATTTCATAATCGTTTAGTAGTTGGTGAACAATAACGGCTTCTTCGTTTTGGAATATAAGCCAAGTTGTCCTCGAATAAGTAAATGATTACACCTCATCTTAAATATTACAGGAGATGGGCAACCAATAAAAGTCAATGCACCTGCACATGTGGACAAATGACTTCGTTTATCCCATTGTTTCTCACCCATTCGATTCCTGAGCCCTTTGACCTTTCATATCTGGAAATTTTGGTCTTTGAATGGTTTCGAGTTCGATTGTTTTTTAGGGCTTTCAATCTCTTATTCGAGTTGGTTGTCAAGGGCAAAAGGGTTACACTGATAATTACTGCGAAGTAGTCAGCAGGTTGTGTGCTTGGTTGGGATTCCATGTACTAAAAGTAGGGAATCAGAGAGACCAAGATGAACGAGGCCGAGGTAAACAAGAAAATTCAGCAAATGGTCCATTTCATCCGCCAAGAAGCTGAAGAAAAAGCTAATGAAATTGCTATTGTCGCAGAGGAGGTTTGTTCATCCACCTAGAGATCAGAACAATTTGCTGAGTTCAAATTCACTAATTTTATTCTTATTGTGAAGCCTGTATTGCTGACAGTTCCACTTAGACGTACACACCAGTTTTCAGCACGTTAACTTCTGCTTCTGTCGATGCTTTTGGAGCTCCTGGTTGGATCATGCTACACATGCAGAATTTCATCAACACCCCGCCCACTTTTTCTTTACTTGAACTTATTGTTTTCGTTTTTAATTTTTTTGTAGCCTCAAAGCTAGTTGGGTTAGATGAATCTTGTGCATACTTGTGCACATCATCTAGAAGCTCTGTCCCAATCTTCATGATTAACTCGAACATGTGAATATTTTCGCAGTCTTGAGGAAACTTACAAATCTTGTTAACTACCCAGCTATGAGCGAATCACTCAAGTTTGTAAATGCATTGATGATGTAGGAGTTCAATATATACAAGTTGCAACTGGTGGAAGCAGAGAAAACTAAAATCTGTGCTGAATACGATCGTAAGGAGCGCCTTGTGGTTCAGCGCAAAAAAATGTACACTGCATTGCTTTAATGCACGTCTAATACCTGATGGGATCGAGTCCAAGTCATAATAGGAATTCAGAAATTGTAAAGAGAATGACGAAAGTGTAATACAATTGAAGCTGACGTGTTGTGTAGAGAACATTCAACACACTTGAATGCACAAAGACTCCGATACCTCCACGCTGTCGAAGATCTTCTTCGAAGGATACGTGATGCTGCGGAGAGGCAACTAGCTACAATCAGCAATCAACAGGGGCCGTATGCCAAGTTTCTTGAAGCCCTGATCATTCAAGTAGCTCTTACCAAACTCACACTCTAGTCACATCCTTGCTATCACTTTTCTTTTTAGAAACCCACAAGTGAATCGTGAAGGTTGGGCACCTGGTTAAGTGCAGGGTTTACTGCGGCTGAAAGAGCCCGCTGCATTGATTCGGTGTCGAAAGGAGGACCTGCACCTAGTCGAGACAGTGATTGAATCAGCCTGTGAAATCTATGCCAGTAAAGCCAATGTGGCCTTGCCCAAAGTCGCTGTGGACGACAAGCTTTTTCTTCCCGGACCTCCGCAACAGGGAGTGCATGGTTCCACATGGTACCATATCTTTACTAACTGCGTAAGTTGATCGCTGATATTCTCGTCGCTAATAGCGGGCCGTGCTGCAGCAGCCTTCGCCACAACATATTAGCTCACTCACACTGCACCTCGTGGGTTTTGTAGTCTGGGCGGCCTAGTTGTGACGACCAGGGACGGCCGTATTGTGTTGAACAACACGCTTGATGCGCGCTTACAGATTGTGTTCAAACAGCAACTCCCCGAGGTTCACACAACTAACATTTACATACTTGTAATATTTGGTTGATGTGCTGGTGATCTGCCTACTTAGCATATCAGGATATTGTCGTTTGTGAAACGTCGACACTCTCTGACCATGCGCCTCCTCTTCCTCCACCACCTGCTCCTCTCTTCTCTTCTCGTCTGTGCGTACTTGCAGGTGCGAAAGCGTTTGTTAAGTGGAGACCCTGCACCGTTATCTCATTCTCCACCCCAATGAACTCTCAGGACGACAGCACACAAACACAATCTCCAAGTTTCTTCAAGTTTCTTTACAGTATATTTCTTCAAGTTTTAATATGAAACATTCAGATGTAAAATTCATTTGTATGGATCATACTAGTATTTCACACCTCTATCAATCTGCCAAGGATCAATTAATCAATCAATCAATCCACACTGACTAGTTGTTGGACAAAACATACTTTTCAAAATCATGATACTAAATTTCCAGTTGCATTGACCTGCTTGTTCCAACATGAAGTTCAAAATACACTATTAAATTGAAAAACATTACCTTCGATAGAAATGATATCTCCCAGGCCAGTGCCAAGCGAGGGCGACTGATACATAATTATTGACTGATTATTGAATGTCGGTCAAATAAATACTCTGCAACTAGTTGTTGCCACCGTTAATCTAGGACTCCTAATTTGCTAGTTCAACAGAATGGGTGCTCAATGTATCTAAGCATTTAGACTACACGTCTATCCTGAAAAAATGCGTGCAAACGAGACACCGCCTAAATTGCCCCACGAAACTTGGAGAATAGCCGACTGGATGCATGAGTGCATATCAATGTAGGCATTAAGGATTGACCACAGCATCCCTTCAACTGAAGATTTCTCGTACAGGACCTTGGAACCAGCGCCGTGCATCCAGCATCCACCAGCCCATAATAATGGATAAGACAACGCCAAGAGCAACAGGTGCGTAATTAAATGTTTCTAATCTTATGGGATAGGAAGTAGGAAGTAGAAAGATAACGCAAGTGTAGCAGATCCACATGAAAGCAATCAAACAGACCCACCGACTTGCTTGACCCAGATGAAAGGGACCTGGCTTGAAGTTTTCCGACTTGATGATCATCCGAGCGAAAATAGGTACAGCATATCCACCCACCCAGCCTATAGTGCATATAGAGGTAATGGCTGTAAATACCACATCGAGTTTCAAAATCGGAATGCCCAGAAGAATTGCAAATGCACAGCAGAACCAGACTGCGTTAACCGGAACTTGAACTCTACGATCGATTTTACGGAGTAGCCTTGAATAGGGCATCCCTCCATCTCGAGATAACGCATACACCTGACAAAACACAAACAGATGTTACTAGAATTTTGTAAGCTCTTCATGGAAATATACATTGCAACATTTAACCAGTACTAAACAAGAACTGCTCTTCGTTCTCGTGTTTATGGAGCGGAATCTGTACACTAATTTCCTCTCCCGGATTCAACATACCTTACAAAAGAATAGCCAAAGTCTGTAACGTAAGCTATGATTTATGCAATAGCAATGCAATAATTGCAGTTAAGTAGTAATCCTTGCAATGAACAAGCTGCTGGTTAAAAAGCAACTCACCACTCGAGCAGCACTTGTAGTGATAGAAAGACCAGCAAAGAAAAATGATGCCCACATGATAATCAGCAGAATAATGGCTCCTGTGCCACTTTGATATCGCCCATAAAATGCATCGTACAATATTTGAGCTGGAACAAACCGACCAGCTGTTTCATTTGTAACGTCATATAAATAATGTGGATCCTGAAAAAGAAGCATGTTATTTTCATACCCAATCAACTTATAAATTTTGAATATCACAATATTGGTTTTTTGGAGTGGCACCAATACCATCGAAGGAAGATTCACGGCAGAACACATGTCAGGCGAAAACATCCTAATACCTCGAGAGAGCATACGAAAAGCAAAAAGTAAATATGTACTAAAAAGTCTACAACGCAAAACAAGACAAACCTCAAGGCACCTGAATACTAAAAATGAGAGCCAGGATGAAAGCCCAGCCGAAGACTGAAATCATCCCAATGCTGGAAAGAATTGCAAGAGGACCATTTATATCTGCATTTTTAGTCTCCTCCGTCAAATGAGCAGCAGCATCATACCCATACAGTGAATACTGGCTCACGAGCCACGACAAAAGAACACTATACACGGGACTTGTAATGCCTGTAACAGCAGACGATATTTCGATATTTGTGAAAACATATGAAGCAGGTTGAGTACTTGGCGCTATAAAAGGCACTATGATGATAATAAGAGTTCCACCCACAACCTGAGGCAGAAGCCATACGGAACAAACTATTAATTGCTTCCTGAAATTTAAACAGGTAGGTAACGTAGTCATAAGCATATGTAACCATTAGATAAGGTACACTAACAAACACTATATGCTTAATCATCTTTCAATCAAAATAGTACTGCACGTAAACAGCGAGCAAACAAACTTGAGACTTATTCAAGAAGAAAAAGTAAGATACAAATCAAGCTATACACCCAACGAACCGTACAAAACATATACAACAAAAAGAGAGCGTAGGGCTTGTTGAGTCAAACCTGCCACCACATGGAAACAATATCAATAAGAGCAATGAGATTCAGAGCAAAGCTATTGAGCACAGCCCATGTGAGACAGAGGCCGATGTAGATTGCTAAAAATACACTTCGAGGTGCAAAGTATCCTCCATTCTTGTTAGTCCCTGTTGAGAGGAGAATTATGTTCTGCAAGGTTTGAGTTCCTGCATATGCCTAGTCAACAGAACTGTTAGGCGCTTAAATACATGATGCCAATGAGCAGTATTTCAAGGACCCACTAAGTCATGATGAACAGCCATAAAGCGAAATTATTCTATCTATACTACAAGATGGTGGAAGCAAATTAAAATTCAATTCAGGAAAGGAATACTGATAAGATTTATTAATTGTCCAATATTACATCTATGAGATTACCTGGGTGCCTATGCCCGCAATCAAACCAATTGCTTCAAGCCAGGCACAGATCCATGATGCAAGTGGTCCCCATTTGGGTCCAGATAAGTGAGCAGCCCAAAAATACAGAGATCCTGTTGTCTGTTGAAAAATTCAGCCAAAGTATTTCCAAAGTAAGTCAGTTACGCTTATGACAAGGTGCAGGGAAGGACAGATAACAAGTTTCTTGATCACATTATGCTATGTCAATACGATTCATACATGTTCGTTCCTCTGTCAAACAGCACACAAAACTGGTGGTTGTACGGGCACTGAACTTTTGGATAACATGCAGCACGTTCCTTCTGAAATTGAAAGCATCAACTCATATTTCTGTTAGTCTTATTAATGAAACACTGACAAACATGGGACACAGATTTCAAATCTACTTGAGATGCAAAACCCTTATTCATCATCGCTAGAAGCTAAAATGCCTTCTTACTTATGATTACAAACAAAGACTTCTTTCTCGACGTTCATGAATTCAGGCCAGAAACTTACTGGGAAACTACTGCAGATTTCCGCCCTGTATAACAAGCAGCACAGTGTTAAATCCCTTCACAGAATGCCAAAGAAGAGACAATGGGACACAAAGATGTTGCAACACAATTTGAGCATGATGATCTATAGAATATGATTATGATTGCATTCTGCCGCAGACACTATTTATGAAAGGCACAGAGAATGACACTTGATTTGACGTTTTTTCGGAAAGCTCTTACATTGCTAAGCCCACGAACCAAGTGAAGAAAGTGACCACAACCCATCCCCAAACAATTCCAGCTGGCCCTGCATACATGAAGCTGCTGCCGAACAGTGGAACTATCCCAGTGAACAACGACATGGTAGAAAACGCAATCGCCAGGCATTTGAAAAGTGTCTTCACATCCAACACACACAACCCTCCAATCAGCTGGCAGATAGATAGGGTCCCAACGTTTCTAGAGTACAGAATGAAGATGATGCTTCAATGACACCTCATAGTGAAGGAGAAACGCATTGCATCTCTTGTTAAGGGAAAAACTCAAGCTACCGTCAGTAATTCAGTGGAGATGATTATAGTTAGAGACAAGGCTGGAAGTATAATGAGAGGCGCTGGGAAATTGAAACTTCTCGCTGGAGCTTCAGCATTGTTGAAACAAAGAGACTCATTCATATGCGTCATGAATCGGTATCTGAGAAATAAAACCTTGCAGATTCATGTCCCTCTTTCTCTAAGGCTTGCTCGTCTTCTTTGGGGACGGAGGTCCTACCGTAAGTAACATCAAGAAAAATAACTTTACCAAAGGAGACTAGTGCTTCTACTGTATCCAAGTATCGACCGCTAGCAAGGGACGTCGGGCAATTTCGAGGAAAACCCAAGAGTCACAGAGGAGTTAGTTGCGGTGAAAATTTTATGCTTGTAGTTCATTTGCCCTGATAAAGAGATATAAAACTATGTATCGCAGAACCAAATAAAAATTTGAGTATATTACTTCAGGAGTCGACGAGCCCGCTCTTGACGATTCAGCAGTGACCCGTCTAATCATTGTTGAAAACATGACGGACAAATCTCTTCAGTTCAAACCAATGAAAACAGTGCAGTAGAATAAAATACTGATGACAGGGGAATGGATCCTCACAAGGACGACATAAAAACTCCAACACATTCCGAGTAAAAAAATTGAGTGCATTGCACAGCTGGTACAAAAAATTGAGAAAAAGTACCATTTCACGGCGAAGCTCCTGCTTGTAACCAAGCTCATTGAGACGCCGCTCCCCAGGATCTACTTCGATTTCCGCTTCCGTTGGACCGCGCATTGCGGACTTACTCTTACAGGGGACATAATTCGAAATCGACATTGCATCATGTATTGTTCCATCTCTGCCGCTTGTTGCTGTGAGCAACGGTCTTTCCTCTTCGTCAAGCACAATGTCCCGATTTTCCAACTTTGAATCTGTACCTGCAAAATCTCTCAATTGTCAAGCTTGAGCTGTTCTCCTATTAACACGAACCCCCGGAAGGAGTCTTATCTTGTCCAAGACAAATAAAACCCATGGACTTGTGTAGAAGTATTTTTCTTTACGTTTAAAAATTCTCGGTTGCCAGAAATCCTTAAAAATCCTTGAACACTGAACAGCCGACATCGTCGACAATTTGAAACAGTGCCCTCTTTCGCTTCTAAACGATCCAAATTTAAACATACAACTACGTCACACACGAAACAAAAAAAAGAAAAGAAAAAAATAAAACAGGAGCACGTAGCAAACATGCAGTATATGAGGGCGAAATTAATAATCTCTAGCGCAAACACTAAAGATGCGCAGCAAAAATTCAGGGCTGAATAATCGGAACCATTCAATTTGATCAAGGAATGAAGCGGGACGGTCAAGAATGCCACAAGATCCAAAAACCAATGCGCACAAACAAAAACAAAGACGAGACAGAGGAGAAAAATTGCGCCTCCCTGCCGTGCGCACATTGCCGTAAAAAAATTAGAATAAAATATACAAAATAAAATAAAATACTGTGAGGACTGGCAAGAGCGGAAGAGAGATGTTGCCTGAAGAGGACAGTGAAGTCGAACAATGATGATGCATAATTTTCCGTGGCAGGCTTGCTAACCAATCGAGGAAGAGCGGGTGGACGAAGAAGCAGAATCAGAAGAAGAAGAAGAAGCAGCAGCAGATAGTGCAAGTCGCGGCACAGAAGAGAACACTAGAGATCGGCTATAAAATAAAAATTCTAGAATTGCGAGAGTGACAGGTTTCGCAATGCCACGTAAACTTAATTAGGTCTAAGTGGCGTTGCGTTGCGTGCTTGTCCGAAATAAATGGATGAATTTCTTGAATTAGTGGATGGATGTATGTATTCGAACTTTTTACTCGGCATTTCATCCCCTACCCTCGTGGCGTGGTGTGCGGTACAAGATATTCCAGATTCGTATTCATCCATTTGCATTTATCTGTTCACTCGGCGTTTTCATTCATCTATTCATCCACCCACTGACAGCAGTAACTCGAATACCTTGTGAGAAACATATAAAAGTATTAACAAATAATTATAGAGTGATCAGTAAATAAAATTAAAATATGTTGTTGAAAAATAAATAAATGAATAGGAATGCAGAAAACGTAAAGGGCTGGTAGTTAAATGAAACATGGGCAGTTGTGGGACTATGCAATTAGACAAGTTTGTAGACTTCACAGCAACAACAGTCAAGTCTCCACATTCTTAACATAGATGAAATGATATAAAAAATTATTTTATTAAGATAATTGAACATTATATTACATTTTTGTATTCTGAACCGTATGAATGAAATAATTGTGAGATTTTTGAAAATTTTAGTTGAGTGAATATGTAGAGGGATCCTTATGCTATGTTGGTTGTAGTAAAATTGCAAAAAAATGTTAATTGTTGTTGAGGTGAGTAAAAATTGAATAATAGTTGAGAATTATGACATCTAAGATTTTTCTATTATTTTAGAAAAACCCTTAGATGTTGAGGAGAATCTTTTAATGACTAAAACAAAATAACATCAAAATAAATTTCCTACCAATAAATATAAATACAAACATATCTATATATATATATATATATATAACTTAAAGCAGTTAACCTCGTTCACACATGTGTATGTATGTATTTATATATAAAATATCAGTCTTTCTTGTATTTACACTCCATTTACTTGAATTTGTTTGATAGAAGATGGATCTATGGTTGCTATATATATTTATTTGTTTATTTACATTATTGAAGCATCATTTTGTGGAATCTACTACATATGAATTTACAAATGGTAACTTTTGTAAGTACTAATTCCAAGTTTTGGATGTGCTTGAAGGAATAATTTGTTTAAAATGATTTTAATTTGACCAGAAATTATAATTTTCTATTACTAATAAACATATGCAAAAAAACCACGTTTTTTAAATAAATAAATAAATAAATAAATAAATAAATTGATAGATGGCTACAAGCACAAGCAATGCACACCAAAATTAAGCAGAACTTTTAGACACTATATCAAACAAAAATAATGTGTATTATAGGCCATAGAAAGTTCTATGAAGCAAACTAAAACATTTTAGAATCTGAACTTGTTTTTAGGGATTTAGACTTCTTTTAGATTCATATTGACATTATTGGCAAATAGATTATCTTATAAATTTTTTACAGAACTAAATTATATATATATATATATATATATATATATATATATATATATAATAAAAAAAAAATTATGTAAATTCTATTAAAAAGATTCAAATTCTTTTAATCAAATATTATAATAATAATTTGTTTTATTCAAATATAATCTTTAATTATGACAAAGTTTTTTTTTAAATTTAAATAATAGGATTTAAGTTACAATCTGGTTTAAGAAAACAAGTCATCATCTTGTACCAATGAAATTTATTTTATATATTCTGATGGATATTAGAAAGCAACGAATTCCCAACAAGGCACATTGGCTCATTTAAATTAAGTTAAATTATCTTTTTTAAACAACTACCAATATTTTAAATCCTTTAATTTGAAAGATCCAAGTTAAGGCACATTAGCTCGTTTAAACTAAGTTAAATTATCTTTTTTAAACAACTACCAATATTTTAAATCCTTTAATTTGAAAGAACCAAGTTTAGCTCATTCATTGTGCAATGATTGTTTGAGATACATGAATCAATGTATATTTCAAACAATAAAAAATTGTTGTCAATCATTGTTACAATTTTCATTTGGATAAATATATGTGTTACAAAATAAGCAATTGCAATAGTAGAAAAGATCATAATTAATAAAAATAATGTTAAGAATAAAAGTTGTGTTACAACTACAATAAAAAATTATAGTTGTAATTGAAAAAAATTGATGAAGGAGGGATGGTGTCAAAAAAAACTTATTAAAATGTAGCTACAATAGCAAGTAAAAATTAATTGAAAGTATTAAATAATCAATAAGCAATAAAACCAAAAAAACAATACAAGAGAATGATTGAAAATTATGAGTTTGTAAAAAAATAAATATAACAAAACAAAGTTAAATAGATTTAGCAAATAATATTGGAAGTGAAGTAGAAGAAAAAAAAATTAGAACAAAAAACAATGTACATGAGTTCAAAAAAAATATTAAGGATTGATTGTAATAACCTTAAAATTAAAACAAAAAATGTATATGGTTTAAACTACAAAAATTCTAAACTATAATTTACACCAATTGTTATGAGGAATAGGTTTTGAATTAAAAATATATATATTCTTAACTTAATACTAGTGGTTTTAGTTATATTTTATATTTTATTTTATATTTGGAAGTTTAAATCCTTATATTTAAACCTTATTAGCAAAAAAAACTTATTATATATTTGAAACTACTACTAGGGAGATAAAGCCAAAAACATAAAAATTAATAAATATAGTATTAGAAGTAATTTTTGCAAGAAATAATCATGCAAAGGAAGAATCATGCTTCCAATTAACATTAATCAAATAAAACAATAAAAATAAATAAAAAATCGTAGAAAGAGACTAAGGATTTTAATTGCAAAAAATATACTTTAATTCCATATTTTAAGCAATATTCGGCATGTGAAAATTGCTAAAAGAAAAAAAATCAATAATAAAAACTACAACAAATATTAGATACCTTTTTATGGTAACTTATCTATACAATAAAATAAATAGAGCATTTTTTTTTAATTAAACTTTGAACTTATTTATGCCAAATAAAAAGAAACCTTGATATGCATGTCCATGATTTTTTGACTACTTGCAATATAAAATAATGTCAAAACTGAATCCTATTGACTAATCTTATTTCTAGTGACTTTAAAAGACTATGTCAAGCTATAATTCCAGTGACAACTATTAGGAGGATTCTAAAATTGGACAACATTAAGAAAAGCATTTCAAAAAATATCTTAGCGAATATTATATGAAGGCTGATTAAATGATAAATTAATCAATCTTCACATAAATACAAATGAAGCAATTGATTTTTTCATGATTAAAGAGAAGATTTGATATTATATATAGCAACAAGATACGATTTTGATATTGCATTACTTATATTATTTGTTATTTGATAATTTAAATCACTTAGATTAAAAACCTAAGTTTTAAAAGCTTAAGTATTAACTTTCTAAGTGACTTACAAAAGAGCTAATCTAAGAAAAGAAATCCATTATGATAAAATCTATGATATTGTTCTTTTCAACCAAAATAATTAATTTGAGCCACCAATAGAAGTATCAAGGATATGAATCACAAACAATAAAAACCTTAATATATTTGTATATCATTAAAAAAGAGTAAATAATCACTTAAAGATGATATAATATTAAATTATAATGATTATTGTCAAAAATTAAAGACTCTTCAAACAAGACTAAGAATAAGAAAGACGTTGAAAAGAGTGAAGAAGATTTCATTCTTGACTTCATATAAACTATTTAATTAGGAGATATGGGACCATGTTCTATAAGACCTCTAACATATGTCTATCTTATATAACAAGTTTCTATATGTATTTGAAGATTATATTTTTTTAATCATGATAATCCTAAAATAATTGGATTGGAGAGAGAACTTATTATATTAAATATTATTGTAATATTATAATCTTTAATTGCTACATCTAAAAGAATAGTCTCATGAATAATGTTGCCAAAAGACAACAAACAACCATCTATGACTTCTACATATGTATGTTTAGTTTTTTTAACAAAAAATATTTCTTATTTTTTGACAAAGTCTTTCTCTATAAAATAGATTGACGCTCTTGAATCTAAAAATACAAAGACTTTGAGATTTTTAGGTCATAAATTCACATTTATTCTAAAACAAGGTGAAGGATTTAAAAAGAGAATATGACCTTAATAGGTGTTGCACATGATTCCAGCTGCATGGTCCCTATTGTAGTTGCAAAAACTTGTTTTTTGACACATTGTCTTCTTTAGCAATTGTACTCCTTATTTTATAATTGAATTGTTTTTTTGGATAATATTGAGTAGTGTACTTAGCTTCTCCACAATATAAGCATAAACCCTCTTAATGACGTTAAGTCTTTTCTTGCTTGATGAGAGATTCAAAATATATCTTATCAATTTACATTGATTTTGGTCTTGATAAATAAATTTTTGAAAATTTGAAAGTTGCCTTCATTACTTGGCTTGTTCCTCTTCAACTAAGTCTTTGTTTGTGATGCCTTTCAAAGAATCAATTGTCGCATGTAATGACTTGAGCAATAAATTGTTCCAAAGATTTTTCTTTTGATATTGTCAATAATGAATCTTTGACGTTATTGTATTGTAGTTGCTTATACTATGTAAAAATTAATTAAAATATATATTATTTTTGTAGGTCTTGATGCCGATTAGAGTGGTTAGTAAGCAAATTTAAATAAAGTTGATATAAAAAAATTTATTTAAAGATTTATTTATTTTAATTATAGTGTTTATATTATGTAAAATTTAGATATTTAATATAAAGCTTAAGAGAAGATTGGAGTCTAAAGATGAAAGTTTAAACTATTAGGGAGCTTATTTGTAAAGATGAAAACAAGGTGTAGTTGGATGAAGGTAAGGAATGAAGATCTTCATCCCTATTGGTGTCACGGACATATATATTTACCTCAATAGTTACTTATATGATTAAGTAGAAATAGGTAAAATAGAATAATTTCATAAAGTCTTCTAGAAAAGCTTCCTAGAAGCTTTATAGATGTAGTTTTGGCTTTAGATGTGTTCGTAGGTTAGAAACTTGGCCAAAAAGC